GCGAAAACGTTCGAGCAGACGCGACTTAATGTAGAATATTGATGATTCGAACGGATCCATTTCGCAACGGTTGCAATTAGAGTTTAATTCGTATTCTTAGGTAGGTTGTGAAATGATTTATACAATGTACACGTCGATTCCCGTTAACACGTTGAATGTCGCGCGATTTCATAGAGGGAAATACGCAAAGCGGAGAAAATACAGTATTAAGTCATTTGTTTGAATTCCATTGTTACCATTGCACGTTGGTCTAGGTGGGTGTCACCGCATTAGATATTATTATTTATAATACAGAAATGTTTTCAAATAATCATCGTTTAAACGAGCGAACTATAGTAATTTTTGGTCGGCATTCAACCTGTTAATAAGTTAAACGCGCAACAAGCCGAGGATGAAATTCAAAGACGGCGAGGCGACTGATGAAAGCGGGCGGTTCGACGGAAAGCGGTTGGAATTATGATCTGCACAGCGAATCTAGAAAAGCGTAAGGGATCCCGAACACACAGGTGAATTCACAGAAATCAACAACACATGAGAACCCATCGAAATGATGATTATATCTCTTTAATCACACACAAAGTGGTCTAATGTACAGTTAGGAATTTGCTTCGACCGTTTTCTTTGGTATCGTTGCATTGAACTGATTCACGGTGAACGCCGCGGGACACTCTAGCTTTCTCTTTTACCACACACCTATGTACACTTACGTCTCGCAACTGTATCGTAAATCGTCTACCTCGCTACTCGCGAGAAACAAAGCGCATTCGGGATTTAAATGGTACCCGTGTTTTCTCGGTAGCCAAGTTAGTTTTCCCGACATGTTCCACCGTTATGCGTCCACAGATCTCTCTCTTTCTCTCTCTCTCTCTCTCTCGCTCTCTCTCTCTCTCGCTCTCTCTCATTTTCTCTTCGCTTGGTCCGTGAATGAGTTTTTCCTTCCGCGATCGGACGGGTGCGAACGCCCGCCATGAACTCATTGCGACACCACTCAGACTCATCTCTAAATTTATCGTTATCTACGTAGTGTACAAGCTAAGGTTTAGTCACTTATACATATGTATATATGTATATGTATTTATATATACATATATATATATACATATTACTCAATTGTTAAATGCCATACATAGATGCCTCTGTCGTATTTCGGCGGATCGCGTCGATCCGGTGCATCGACGAATCTGGAAGGAAATAAATTACCTCGTGCATCGTCTCTACTACCTATCTTGGCGTGCGTCGGTGTGTCGAGCGAATCGGAACGTCTGTCGACGGTGCGGAAGGTAATGTACAAGTACGGGAAACAAGATAGCTATCAACGCTGCTGCTCGATGGAATATTTACAGTTTAATCGTGTTTGATTGCGTGAACGGCCACGCGACGTTCGCGCCGGACGCCTCGGCTGCGGGAGCAACCTCGAAATCGGATCGAACACGCGCGTGTATGGTCGTGTGAATCGAATATAAAAACGGGCTCCGCTGTTGGCACCTGTAGAGATTGCATCTAGCGCGACTTCTATCGTTCGCTGTTGGACGAAATGGCTGTTGCTCCGAATAATATCGTTTGAACGAACGCTCGGCGCTGTGTCTTCGTCCCCGGCGAGACTAAAATGAATCTACCTCGTGTTCCGGCGAAACGGATGGACGTCGGTCTAATCGCGGTGCACCCGGTCGATGCACCGCGACATTTTGGTGTTTCGAATTGCACTCGATTGCTAAACTAAGTTTCTAGGTTCCTTCCCGACACCTGAGGCGCTTGAGAAACGAAACGTTCAGTTGTCCGTGCTCGAATTCAAGAATCACCGGAGCTACTCGGAGATCTCAGTTCAAAGATACTCGAATCCCCGAGGATTTAAAAGTTGAACGTTCAGCCGTTCGAGTGTTTGAATGTATCAAGTGTTTCGAGGACTCGAGTGTTCGATATCTAATTAACGGACCGTTCGAGAATTCGAGTGTCGGGCATCCAGGTAACCGAGCGTTACATCGAACGCTAACTATTAACGCTATTAATAGATCACCGCTATTACCATTAATCGCTAACTATTAATAATAATTCGACGCTCGGTTACGCGGAGTACCCACGGACTCGGCAATCCCGATTTCTCAATTACCCAGGCCGTTTGTACTAAACGTCATTATTGTTTCCGTGTAACGCGTTCCCCGCAGAACCTCAGATTCCCTGGTACGCCATAGACTGTAACGTGAAAAATCCGTCGAAATTCGTGGTCCGAAAGTCGCCTCAAAATCGACTCGTTACTGCGCGTAGAAAACAATCGAAAAATATTTCGCCCGGCGGGACTCCCGAAGCCGTTCGAAATATCAGACCCCTTCGCCCAACCGACCGAAAAACTGTTGCGACATTCGATTATAAAAAAGTAACGATCGCGACTGGTTCGTCGCAATAGATCCACAAAATAGATCCGTCCCTCGCGCCGGACGCGTCGAATAACCGAATTCCAGAACACCGAATCGAGAAGCCCTCACCGACGCCTAACGCGTTATCAAAATCGTTCGTTTTCAAAATTCCGCGTTCCCGTTCGAGACGCTAGTGCCATGTGGTCGGGAAAAGGAGAAAAAACGTTCTTCAGCAGTCAGCTTTTCTCGGCGCGCGGCCGACCAAACAAACCTCCGTCCTTCCCAACTGCCATTGACGCGCCCGAGCCGCCATCTTTGTCCGTGGATCGCTACATCTCCGCGAACTAGACATAACCTGCTCGCGATCTCGCGTTTTAACTGACACATCGAGGAAAACGTGCTGATACACTACTTTCGATTACTACTGTTCTACGATAGCTGCGCTACGCGATATACACCGGTGCGTAGAGGATAAATACACGTATAATTACACCGGCGCGGCACGAAATGACTGACGCCGCGCGGACGCCGCTGCACAACCCCCTTTTCTCTTCCCCCTCGCCGGCCAGTACTCGCGTAAATCTTGTATACATTAATTAACCTACTATCTCTAAACCTGACAAATACAAAGTGTGCGTATACCCACGCGGCACTCGTACAAGTGTGTTTTATATCTTTATTTGGCAGTATCTCTCGTGTTCCGTTCGTCTTGCTTCGTTCCATCGATCTATCACCGATGCTTGACCGAGTTCGCTAAGTTCGATCGAGCTACAAATCGATCTTAAGATCCGAGCGAGGATCTCGATCCCTTCGTTTCTTTTCCTTCTTACTCTTCTCCTATATACATACATGCAATCTTTGGTTTCGCTACGGAGCAATCTAAACGCGCACGGAGTACCAACGAATGGCAACGGTACCGTCTGACAGCGCTTTCCCTTTTCGTCGTTTCCCGTTTCGATCGGTACTCTTGTACAGGGAACGGTGCACGATTACGGTTACGCTCGTTCGTCGGCTACCGTTCGATATCTGTACGAAGTCGTTAGGCCTGCTCCCTGGAAGAACGGAGCTACGATGCTACGCGTTGCTCGACGATTCTACTATGACACCTTGAGTCGAAATTGCATCTGCTGGGAACCAGCTTCGCGCGATTAACCAGCGAAATGCTTGTGTTCCGAGTAATGTAATCGAACTGTCTTTAATATTTAATATCGAACGTTCGTGTGCATTCGTGTTTCTATGCTTACCGCTAACTCTATGACACTGCCCGAGCATTTTGCGATGTTTCAATATCAGAGAACATTCAAGTAATAACTACCTGTCTCTATCGTCCACAGTTTTAATGAATTCTACATTCGAGAACGAAGCAAGGCTTTGACTTCATTAACGTGGTGAGTTTTAAATTTCAATGTTTATGATATTAACAGAATATATTGTTATATCAATATACCATTTCACGCGGTTAAATCCGTCGAATCAACATCAGCGAAGAACGTTTGTATAACTGCTGCAATCAACGCACGAACATTTTTATATTCCAAAATGTTATTCCTTCTATTCAAAGCTCAATTATTCGAAAACAGGAGGTGGCAGAAACAAACGTCTTTCAGAATCGCAGTGCAAATTTGCAAAAATCACTTATCGGGCTATAAAGAGAAAACAGATTCAAGATTCATGGACAGTGCAGTTTGCAATATTAAAAACAGTTTGTTACCGAAAGCCGACGGAAGATTCGAGCTTACCTTAACTCGCTCTTACGTTGCATCCACCTCAGGGATCCTTACGTTACAGAGAGTCTTCGTAGTGACTCCACAGAGTATTTAAATATATGTACCTATATACGTACGTATTATTAGATAGATATTTGGTACCGCTTCGTGATATAGTTTCGTTTCCTAATCGCGAGGTTCGTCGAATTAGCACTCGAATAAATACGCTAGCTACGGAACTTCCTCTTCACCGTTCGTTTCACT